AGGTGTCACTTTGTTTTTCAGATCACCCAGGAAGCAGGAGAGTTCATGATCACATTTCCTTACGGTTACCACGCTGGTTTCAACCACGGCTTCAACTGCGCCGAGTCCACCAATTTYGCCACTTTGCGCTGGATCGACTACGGGAAAATGGCAACACAGGTGGGGTGAGGGGCTGGAGCAAACCCCCAGCTCATGGGAAACACAAAAATGGGAATGGGGTTATTATTTTCCCTAATTTTTAAGGACAGCATTGAAAACGCCCTTTTTTTGGGATGTGCTCTTTCACTGTCCCACATTGCAGCTTTTGCCTCTTGATAATTTGTTTTATTCTGGGTGTCAGAATGACTTTCTGACTTATTTTGTTTTCTCAAGTGCTRCGTGTGACGTTGTGAACAGGTTGTTTTGGGGATTGGTAAATTGGAATTMGTTTCCTRATGCATCCAAACTGCGTTTCACAGYGGATAAGTTGACTGATGTAACTCAGTACAACTCATTAGGTACACACTGAAGGGGAAGGAATAAACTGGAAATACTTTTTAAGCTTTAATAACCCTATGGAAATAACGTTCTGAAAATACCTGAGTTCCTCAGTTAAATTTGGAGAGGAGAGTTGTGTTTGTGGGGTTATTTCTCATCAGGGCAGCTTTCTGTTGTGTTTTGTTGTTCTGGTTTTGTGACAGCACTCGTACTCCTCTCCCCTGGTTTGAAGTCTGGAGAATAATTGATCAGCAAAGCTCATTCCATAAAATCTGGGAAATTTTGCCACAGGCAGGGACACCTCCCACTATCCCAAATTGCTCCAAACCCTGTCCAGCCCGGCCTTGGACACTTTAAGGGATAGGTCAAACATTTGAATTTGTTCTGGAGTTAAAGGGATGCCTCAAATGAAGCATCTGAAGCTCGAAAATAACCAAGCAATCTTGCTTTAAAAATGTAAAAAACGCTGTTTTTCTGCTGTGACCTTGTAAAGCAGGTTTGTGTGTAGTGAGTGGTCATGGTATTACACCCCAGAAAATGGGGTTTATCATGGAAATTCAGGCAGACCCTTAACTACAACGGAGCCAGCAGGCACYGCTCGAATATTAAAAGCAATTTTGGGTTCAGCCATGTGTTCACAAACAAGTGACATTTGGGAAGTGCAGTTTGAGATGGAGCCTCCATGCTTACATTGTTAAGCAGCGTTGCGTGAAATTACCGAACAAGCGGCGGCGAGCTCSGAGCAGATCTGGGCACACAGAGCAGGAATATGGCAAGAAATGCCCAATTTATTCCTCTGCTTTCAGTTTCCTGTTGCTCTAAACCAGGTGTTGATGATCCCTGGGGGGTTTGTTGCATTGGGAAGGTGAAATTTGGTTGAAATGTTGTTGGGGTTAAGCAGGGAGTTGAGGAAATGTCAGCTGGAGCTGCCTGTGCTTCTATGGGGAGAGAATTCCTGCAGAGACATTGGGAGGGAATCCTTCCTTCCTTGGGAGGGTGGGGAGAGCCTGGCACAGATCCCCAGAAAATTTGTGGCTGTTCCACCCTGGAAATGTCCCAGGACAGGATTTGGAGCAGCCTGGGATGGTGGAAGGTGTGGGATGGGATGAGCTTTGAGGTCCCTTTCAACCCACACCATTCCCCCATCCTCGAGTGTGGGATTTTTAGATAACTACTGCAGCTTTTATTTAAAAAACAGCTTTTATGCACTCCCAGGCACAATTGAAATTATGTTGCTCACATGCAGGCAGGTTTAGGGATTTTTTTTTTGTTCCCATATCCTGGTTTATAAAAGTTCTTGGGAAYTCTGAGCTGGCCAAAGCTCTTCCTGCCCTGACCCAACTGCTGGGGGAGAGATTTCCTCCTTTTTTTTTGGGTCACCAGTGCAGCTCTCATGTCCTGCCATCACTCAGGAGACTGGAGACAAGGCAAGGTTCATAATTAGCCAGTTGTAATCTTCATCTGGACATGAACTCGGGGAGGAGGTTTAGATTCAGTGGTGCAATGGAAGAGAGTGAGAAAAAAAAAAACCCTACATTTTATAGGTTTTTTTTTTTCACCTCGGAAAGCAGAGCTGTGCTAATTGCCTGCCAGATGGGTGCAATGTTCTGCATCCCACTGAGAACCTGCCTGGGCTGGAAAAAAAATACAGAATAACCAGCCTGGAGTGTAAAGATCAGCTGCTGAGACACTGGTCCTGCTCTAATTGTAGAACAAGTGTCAGTATTAGCAAAAAAAAAATAATTAAAAAATAGCAGTGGCTGCAGAGTTGTGTGGGAAACTGATAGTGGGTAATTCCTCTTGTGTCTGTAAATTTGGAGCCAGGATGG